GACGCTGGGCAGATTCAAAGTAGGAATTCCCTACAGCGTTTCCTTATACATTGTGCAAAAGAATTGACCTCACGTGGCTGCACATGCACTGCGTGACCCCACGGGCGGTTTTGGCAGCGGGTACCTGCGGGGCCCCACACCCCCTGCACGGCCCCGCTGGGCGCTGGGACAGGGGACGCTGAGCAGCTGCTGGCCTCTGCGGGAAGGGGTTTGGGTCACAGCTCCACACATCCCCTGGGTACATCTGTGCTGTGATTTTAATACGCTCGCAGCCCTGCTGGGAGCAGTAACTGTGTCCTTGCCGAGGTTCGTGGGCTTGCAGGTGAACAAACAGGTACCTACAAATGAGAGCAAACAGAGGGATCAGAGCCACCATCCGCTGCAAGGAAAAGCTGAGTAGAAGCAGGGTCTGCACTCACTAAATTGCGTTTTTCCTCCCATTTTCCAGCACCACAAAGTAACTCTCTCTTAGACAGATGTAATATAGCCCAGCCATTGCAAAACAGGGGTGCGAGGATGCAGGTCAAGCTCCCCTATCATCCTGCCACAACGAGACCTGCAGCACTTGCAGCCCAAATGTCCAAATTATATATAATATCCAGTGGCTGCAGTGGTGCTCAGGCTGTTGTGCAGGAGACAGGCTTGCCTGGAAACATCAGCATCTCCCCTTTGACTCTCTCAAAGGCAGCCAGGTCTTCCGGCCTTCGGAGTTCATTTTTATTTTTGCTGTCTGTTTTAAGTATGTTTTCAATCCTGTGCATTCTGCAATTCAGGCCGAGGAAATGATATAAACAGTTCAGTTCATCTCCAGGATCAAAAAGATACGTGAGCTTTAAAGGGATTTTTCTTTCTATTTCTTTGTAAACTAAATATTTGTTTCTATTTGTCTGGAAGAAAGAATGAGTAAGCTTGGTTTCTCTCCAAGGAGCCAGCATGTGGGGTTAAAAAAAGAAGGGGAAACATCCCACTCATTATGAAATAAAGTCTAAAAAACAACAACAGGAAAAGAAAAAAGCCAGTCCCCAAACTTCTGTACCCTGAGAGGCTAAAAAAATCATTGCTGAATTAAACAGAGAAACAAAAGGCTGACACTGCCAGAATTAAGTCAGGTTAGACTCATTAATCTGCATTTACCAGGTCCAGATGGCTGCTGGCAGCTAATGGCTCTTCCCCCACAGACCCACACATGTAACCATTTTCCCTGCTCTTTAGTGGTGAACAACCTGTTTACAAAATTTGGGCTACTTTTATATCTTATTATTTTTACAAAAAAGGATGTTTAATTAGCAAATTGTTACTTCACAATTCCTATCATGAGAGAGACCTGGCCATCAGCAGGGAGCCTGGGAAGGCATTCTGGGATTTGATTGCTCATGCGTTATGGTTGAATAAACAAATATCCCATCATATTTTCAAATCTGGCACTTGTGGATTGATTTCTGAACCAGCTACTTGGTCAGGTGAAGCATCATGGGACCCATGGTTAGACCACAAAACACTTTTTGCCTCCCTAACTATTTTAGCTGACAGAGAAACAGTTTCGTAATATGTTTTTTTAACCAAAGGTGTCCTAGAGTCTTACAAAAGTAGTGCAAGATCTCTAGGACTTGCTTCATGCCTTCAAAATAAGATTTACTATGATGCTCTCCTTTTTTCACAAAAAAATAATTTTTAGAATGTGATGATTTTAGAAATCTCTCTTCATGGGAATATGAAGAAGCTGAAACTGCCCAAACTGTCTCAGTGTTGGAGCTGTCACTGTCATGAGAGGGCTGCTTTTCATGGATGCAATGGATTTTAACAAATATTTACACTGCACATACACCTGCAGCAACCTGAGCGGCAAGGATGCCTCGACGGAGCTAAGTCCAGGCAATAAATCAGCCATTTTCTTAACAGCAATGCAAACTGCTGCTCAGTGATACAGGAACAGACCTACACCAGGGACTCCAGCCTGTAAATCCATTTTGACCCAAAATCAGTGAAAAGACCATGCAGGATAGATGAGCATCAAGTTCAACATTGAGAAAGGCAAAGATGGTGCTGGGGCTGGTAACGAGAAAGATCCCGAGGGTTTGGGGGCACTGCAGGTCTCACCCCGATGCTCTGTCGAAGTAGAAGAGCCGCTCGCCGGTGCTGTTGAGAGCCATGGCCCGGGAGGGAGTGGCGAGGTAGTGCTTTATGCTGTGCACCGTCCCTGTCCGTCGCTGGTAGATATCTGCCACCACCTGGAAAACGGCCCTGCTAGGATAGCAGAGGGCAAGACGCAGCCAGTCTCCTCTGTCGGCAAGAAGGGGAGGTGGGGGGGGGAAACAGAGAAAATGCACTTCAGGGCTGGAGTTCAGGAGAGATGGTCTGCAGCCAAGAGTACAGTCTTCAGGGGAAAACAAAGAAATGTCCTTTGAGGTTCTCTTCCTCCTTTAAAAAAGCACAACAAATCCTCAAAGCCAAAGAAAATCAGATTTTTTTGCTTTGTCTGGAATCAACGGCTGCTTATTACAAAGGTCTGATCCAGGGACCCCAGCTGACCTCAGAGGACTTTGAGTCAGGTGCCAGCACGGCTTAAAATCAGAGATTTTCCCTTCCTTGCCTCATAAGACTGCAGTACAACCAGTCACATACCCACTTGCGTCTCCTGAGGCAGCTGGGGCTTGTTTCGGTTCATCCAGAGCTGCTGCAGGAGAGGGAACCGGCATCCAGCAGACGTTTCACCGGGGGCACAGATTCAGGAATTAGAAAATAATCTCTGACTTGAACCAGAGCCACAGTCTACAGAGACCTGCTTCCTCCACTTTACAGCAAAGTTTATTATTATGGTTTCCATTAAAATCTCCCTCTCCCTGGCTCTTTCCTCAATGTCAGTTTAGAATAACCTAGGGTAAAGTTAAATCATCTTTTAACTCTTGTCTACCATAATTTCAGCATGCACCTTTACAAATAAAATTGCCCCCATGGCTTTCCTTTATCCTGTGATTTGCATCACCACCTTCATGGAGAGGAAAAACCGGATCCAAACTAGAAACCTTTGTTTCAAGACTCGGAGCCAAAAGATGCAGCTACGGCACATTTCGGATGCTGATGGGAAGGATCTTCCACAAAACCCAACACCCTTTCCTGTCTGCAGGATGCACTTGTGCTGTGCAAAGCAGAAAGCCACAAGTTTACACTTGAAAAGAAAATCTGAATACCAAGATAATTAGCCTAATTACTTTTTTTTTCTTTCTAGCCTCTGAAGTGGCTCAATGTGCCACATCAAGGTGCCTAAACCAGTGCTGTGGTTACCTTTCCTTGTATTACCAAAACCAATGAGACTTTAAACATATTCTTTTAATTACCTGGCTTCCTGGTTAAAATGTGGGAATACAGATTTGGCCTAGAGAAAGACAAATACCACCTTCACCAGCTGTCCTTCTGGGCCCTACAAAGCTGAGGAAGACAAAGTTTCTCCAAAGGCTCCCCTGAAATGACCCACCACCCATCCCTGCCTGCAGAGCGATAAATGGGGGGAAAACTGCTTTGAATTGGAGAAATCTGGGAATCTGCATGCCTAGACCTCTACTTTGCATTGCATATGAAGAGCACAGAAGCAAAGCTATTTCAATATTTTTCTGGTTTTCTCATTAAAATAAACAAAACTATCTACAGGATGGTAGAGGGGACAGGCTGTCCTAGAATAATAAATCAAAGCTGCATAAAGACCCATCAGCTTAAGCCAGATACTGCCCTCTAGATTTTAACCAACTCCAGCTGTGTCATAACACAGGACAGCTAGAAAATTGATATATTTTCAGATTATTTGGCCTCCAACTAGAGGAAATGAAAGAAATGCACCAGAGCCATGTTTGCGGAATATTTTTAGGACAGAGTCCCAAGACATTTGGCTGCTTCATAAGGGTGATTTGCATTGCGTTAGCACATTTCATCCCCTGAAGACACCACCAAAAAAAGGGCTTGTCATCTCCCTCAGATGCTGGGAACTGCCTTTGGTGCTGTGCTACACTGACTGCCACCTCCCTGCAAAACAAAAAAGGCACTAGAAAAGGCCATCGGAAGGTGAAAGACAAAAAAAAAAGTGTGAAAAAACCCACAGCTGCACCCATCTTGAGGCACTGGGGCATTTGGGAATATGAGTGCTAGAGCCTAGTGTGCGTGTGAGCAGGCTGAATGAAACACTGCAAGAAGTTACATCAAGATTGAAAGGATCAAATGAAAAGCACCTACTTTAGAGTCTGTGGAGGAAGAGACGGAAATAAGTGCATTCCCACAACAAAGGGCTTGGGAGGAGATGTGAGAAGGGAAGGCATTAGAAGTTATCCTTTATGTAAATCACAGAATCACAGAATCACAGAATATTAGGAGTTGGAAGGGACCTCGAAAGATCATCCAGTCCAACCCCTGACAGAGCAGGATCATCCAGACCAGGTCACACAGGAAAATGTCCAGGCAGGTTTTGAATGTCTGCAGAAGAGACTTCACAACTTCTCTGGGCAGCCTGGTCCAGTGCTCTGTCACCCTCACAGTAAAAGAGTTTTTCCTCATGTTCACATTGAAACTCCTATGCTCCAGCTTGTTCCCATTGCCCCTTGTCCTGTCATTGGACATCACTGGGAAGAGCCTGGCTCCTTCCTCCTGACACTCGCCCTTTATAAATTTATAAACATGCATGAGGTCACCCCTCAGTCTCCTCTTCTCCAAGCTAAAGAGACCCAGCTCCTTCAGCTGCTCCTCATAAGGGAGATGCTCCACTCCCTCCATCATCTTTGTGGCTCTGCTGGACTCTTTCAAGCAATTCCCTTTCCTCCTTGAACTGAGGGGCCTAGTAGTATTCCCAAATATAGGAAAGAATATGGTGGTTATTTTCTCTTTAATTTAGTGGTATTTTAACAGCTTCCTATTTAGTTCTTCACTCCAGTTCTGATTCTTCAGCTTGTAAAAAACCCGCTGTAAACCCTCCCAGAAACCTGGTTGTGTGGCTAAGCTGGGCTCCACCACCTCCAGGACAAGCAAAGCGAGAAACAGCAGCGCTGCTGCAGGACGGGGCACAGGGCTCTGCCTTGCAGCTGGCCCGCGGCAGGGGTTAGTTGTTCCCCAGACATTGCCAAAACTGAGGGAGAAACGCAACCTCAGGCAACATGCAGTAATCAGGCATGGGACATCTTGGACATTGTGTCCAAAGCCAAACAGATGTGCGTGTGGCTTCCTCAGCCACTGCGCTGGCCACCAAGGACCTTCTGGCTGGGTGTCAAGTGCAGGAAGCCTTCATCTTTATCAATAAACTGTGGCTCCTGCTTTATTTCTCCGCTTAAACCTCTCCATCCTGTCCTATTCACCAGCTGCTACTCTGGGGTGAGCATTAGCAGACAAAATAAGAAAAATAAGTTCTTGTTCTGCCGCTCTCAGGACCAGCAGGGCAGCTGGGATCTTTGCAGATGCTCTGGAGGCTTGGGGACACACAGCACCAGCAAGAAGAGAAAACAGAGAATTCACAGCAGATCCCAAATTGCGCATTCAGAGCAATTTCAGACCCCTGCCTGGATGCTGTGGGAACATCTGTAGCTTTAGATGCTCTTGTGCTTAAAGACCAGCACAAACAAAGAGAAAAATATAATTCAAAAGACAAAGGGTAGAAGTCAGGATACGAATACACAAAATGCTGTCCAATGTAGCAATACACAGGAATTTTTTGTGGGGTTTTTTTTAATAACTTTCATTCTTAGGAGTTTCTTGCAAGAGAAACAAAAATATTTTCAGGTGGAAAGTCTGACTTTGGAATGAGCTGTCATTTTAAGTGAAAGCCATGTTAACATGTGTAGGAAACTAACTTGAGCTATTTAAGATGTTTTCACCCCAAAACTAAGTAATGGTATTCACAACCATTTATAGTGATAAAGTTCAGTTTGTCTTAGAAGTAAGGAACATTCTTCCTGCTTTTTTCATGTTTGTTCTTAATCAGACTGATATTTTCCTATGTGTTTTTACCCAAAATATTGGCATTTGAAGGAGACAGGCTAAATATGCACTAGCAGGAAGTCAGTATTTAGTGGGTCCTAACAGTTTCAAACACCACTTGGAAAGTTTTTGAGACTCGGCTGACACCAGCATGTATAAAACCTGACACTTCTGCCCCTCTGTTACTGTCATTCAGCAATCCCCACAGTGCATTTCATACATTTTTATGAATGTATTTAGCCTGTTTATTTCATTTTGGAAATGGTTGGATGAAACAAAGCCCAAAAGCCTTTCTTTTTTAACCAGGATATTGGCATTTGCAGTTCTGGCTCTTGCAGGTGAAGCAGAAACATCAGACAAAGTGTTAAAAAAAGTATTCTTATGTTTTGGCAATGAGTAGGCTTCCTGGGATAAGCAAAAGCAAAAGCAAAAAAAGGATGAGGGAAAGGGAAAAAAGCAGGCAAGAGGTTTCCTGTTCTTGGACATGTGGTAGATACAGATCTGCACGTACACACAGACATACCTCATTTATAACCCTCGGAACACCCCCCCAGCTCAACCCCAAACTCCCAAAGGCAAAGCCACTTAGAGAAATGTGATCAAGCAGGCAAAGGAGGGGAGACTTTTGCAAGTGGTGGGATGTAAAGTGAGTCACATAACTTGGAGAGGAGATTTGGCTGGAGTAAACATAGAAAGAGTGCATGTCCGGACTCTCACTGCCTAGGAGAGGACAAATAACACTTCTTCAGTATTGGGACCATGCACCTTGACTGCATTGGATGGAGCATCAGTCCTGGGCAAATGGGTATGATCTAGTGCTGGGGTTTCTGGTTATGTGGGACATCAGTTCTGGCTGTATTTTAGCAAAGGGAACCTCTAAGCTGATGAGTATTACTCTAGAAAACAGCTCGACCGCATTTATTGACATGGTGTGTCTCATAGCTGAGGACCATGGAAGTGCACAGTCCAAATCCTGATCTCACTGATGAAAATCTGGGGTAAGCTAATGTGTGAATGTTGTAGAGTATAACTGAAAATTACTTATTTTTTCCTTGGGCTCAAAAAACCAAGAGACTTCTATCCAATGAGTCAGTCTCCCCCAACTGTTACTACTCCTGTTTAACCTTTGACATTTTGTCAACATCTACGTGAGCTGATCTTTCAAAGGGAGTGAGACAAATGGGAGTTTGAAACTTTCCTGTTCATAATATGGGAACCACACAGAAATCCCCACATGCTGGTTTCTAAGTTTGTCTCTCACAAGCTGAATTTTGAATTTCAAAAGACAAAAGCAAAGCTACCATACAGCCTCCAACCCAAATCACAGGAGG